CCCCAAAACCCCAAAACCCCAAAACCCCAAAACCCCAAAACCCCATTATGCTTTCTATAAATTGAAATATATTTCAAGATGCAGCAAGCTAATAATCCAAACGGTGAAGAAGAGAAAGCACTAATTACTCAGCCTTATCATATCTGAAAGGATATAAGGTCCTTATCTCATCAACTATATGCTCTGAGTGAACTTCCAAGAGAAGGAGCAACTCTTCTGTTGGATTACTTCAGCGATGATGAAGCTAAAAGGGAGCTAGATATACTAGCAAGTAACCTAAAAGCATATAAATGTAACTAAGAAACAAAATCCCAAGAAAAAGAGGGAGATTGAAGTAAAATCTCCAAAAGCAGTTACCGTTCTTCATACTTTCAATGTCCAAGGTACATGTCAAAAATAAACTAAATAGTGAGCAACTTAGTAGTAAAACTGATCATGGTAAAAGAGTTTCATAAGTCTAATGAAGTATTCAAATGCCTTAAGAACTCTGTATATGGTCTTGCTAGATCCTCCCTCTTCAATAACTCAGCATGTGCCAAAGTTCTTCGTAAGTCATTGGGATTATTCAATACAGAAAATGAATACAAAGATGCTAGTAAGGAACTAGCTGAATGAGAATACCTTGAAGCTAATTCAGATCACACAATTGGGATCGCAATGTAATTCAACCCTCAACTCTATAGAAATGCAAACAATAAATGTGTCATGCTCATGAAGCAACAACAATACCATGATGCTCATGAAGCTGCTAATCGAGGAGTAATTGTCTTAGAAAAATTAATAAAATTTCCCAAGCTGAAAAGTACAAAGGCCTGTACCAAAATGATGAGGAGCCATTGCTTCTTACAAAACTTGAAGCTACTCCTAATGAGCTATTACAATCTAGTAACCCAATTCTAACCCTTAGGCTCAATCAAAAGTAAAGATAGGACAGTCTAAAGATGCAGAAGCTATCTTCAATCATGGTTTATTGCTTTCTGAGAAGTTTTTCATCACCAACACTATTATTGCCAAGAAATACAAATAAAAAGGTCTGGAGGAATAAGAATATGAACTTTATTCAGAAAAATATCAAAAACGCAGCTGTGCCTATGATAAAATCCTCTGGAAAGAAGATAAAGAGTTCACCTTCTCATGAGATATTTCAAAATAGTCCTAATTTCGTAAATATTCGAACTGGGATGAAGCAAGGAGTAAATATTCAGGCGAACACTCCTACTAGTAAAGCAACGAAATAAGAACAGGAGAGTCAAATCTGCATTCGGTAGTTCTCTTAAAGACATGGCGTTTGCAGATAAAGGTATGACTTTATAACTATTTTAGAACTATTAAAATCATCAGACAACGATGATTTAGAATCAAGAGCCACTAAAGCTACGAAGGCCACAAGAGCTACAAAGGCAACAAAAGGCTTTTCTTCTGAAATTTCCAATAGAATTGGAAGCAAAATAGCCTCTTTTTCAGAAGAAGACATGAATAAAATCATGGAAAGTATCAGAAATAACACCCCTAGCATGACTAAGATCGATAACTGGAGAGAATTTGCTGAACAACAGTTGGAGCATGCAAGAGGACATAGATCTAAGCATGAGGGATGCTATGCATGCAATAATGAATTTCAATAATATTTTCTATAAATGGGGTTTTGGGGTTTTGGGGTTTTGGGGTTTTGGGG